TAATTTGTTCAAGTAATATAAAACAAATAAGAGATGAAGGGGGAAAAGTTACTGTGTTTGAATTTAGTTTTTTAAATAGGAAGTTGCAAAAATCTTAAGAAATTAAATCTTTTTAGGGCAAATTTTGAGAGCATCTCTTAACTTTGAAATAGAGAATTATGCATAAAAATTTCAAAGTCAGTATATTTGTGTGCTTTCTTGAAGTGTTGCCATTTTAGATATTAAAATTCTTCAACTGCTCATCTGTTGTACATTGGCGAGACAGGAATGACTCAACTTAAAAAAAGTCAATGCAATAGAAATTTATTGCATGCCTGCGCAAATGCTTATCCAATTATGCATAGTAAATAATAAATACGTCAGATTAAACAATTAATTATGACATACATTAAGATACTAGAATAAATTTGAAGTCCTTGGTTTTTTAGGAGGTATTGTTCAGTCATCTGGGAACACTGAGAAGCATCTTTACTTAGTATAGTGATTCTAAAACTTTATGGAACCATGTGGGGGTAGTTGGGGTTTAGGGGGTCAAAGAATAAACAAGTAGAATTCCACTTTGTGTTTCACACACAAATCCATTGGGGTTCTACGCGATTTTTTGTTTATAAAGGGATTTCAGCGGACTCAAAAGAAAAGTGCGAGCTATTGATGGGGAAGGAGAGGGCGCAGGAGTACTTCAGACCATGTGTTAGGATAAAACAGAATCGCTAACTTCGCAAAGACACTCTTCGTCTTTGGGCATGTCAGTTTTAATGTTCAGGAGATCCTTTCCTTGTGGAATTCAAGGAGGCGTTTCTACGAAGGATCTTTGTACTATTCGGTCAGTGGAAGATAGTGAAATGGGCTTTCCAGCTACTGATATTTAGCAGATGTTACCAGCTGACTTTGCTTAATCATTGTAGGGAGACTACCAAAAAAACACTTCAGGAAACTTGAGAATAATAAACAGTTATTCAGAAGTTATAAAATCTTTTTGAAACATGTAAAATACTTTTCAATGTGTTGAATGTTCCACTAATGTTTTATAATTTCAGGAGGGTTCTGATAATGATGATGATGAAGGTGAAGAAGAAGAGGAAGAGAATACAGATTATCTTACAGATTCCAATAAGGAGAATGAAACTGATGAAGAAAATAATGTATGTATAGAAAAAGTTGGCTGAAAAAGTTACTTTTTAAAATTGTGCAACATTTTCATAATACTTGGATTCTACCCATTGAGTTTTTGTTTCTTTCGATTATTGAAAATTATCTTTCTGGAAATTTACTTTCAGTGTGCTTTTCTTTTTTCTTTTTTTTTTTTTAATTAATCAATTTATTGGGGCTCATACAATTCATCACAATACATAGATCA